ATTGAATCTGTTTAGAACCAGGGCTGCGGGTATGATCTGGTCTCGCAGGCCGAGCTGCTCTACGACCTTCAATCTGATGATGTTGGCCTAGCTACCTGGATCAATCAACACACGTTTAACTTTAGTTTTATTTATGAGTACGGATATTACCAGTGCATCGTTATAAGGTTGTACGACCCCTTCTGCATCTTCATCATTGAAGGACAAAGTTTCTATGGGTGTGTAATCCTGAGTTCGAGATCGCTTTTCTCTCACAATCGATATTTTAGTGCGTTTAAGCACTGGTCCTTGAGGGGTATCGGCACCGCCGATGATCATGTGAATGACGTACTGCGGCTCTTCCTACTCATTTTGCTTGTCGAAATCCCTGTTTTTAAAATGGTTCCTCGCCCTATCGCTCAAAAATTCCCGAAGGTGGCCTTTGTTAAATAACCGGGCTACTTCCTCTCTTAGTTGCCTGCAATCTTCTGTTCTATGGCCATGGGTGCCATGATATTCACACATTTGATTGGGATTCCTTTGGGCAGGATCGGTCTGCATTGGTCGAGGCCATCTAGTGTCTTTGATGCGTCCGATAGCAGACACAATGGCAGATGCATCAACGCTGAAGTTATATTCCGATAACTGAGGTGCTTCTATAGGATCGGCATATTTATCAAAGCCTCTCTTGCTCATAAGTCCCCGAGAATTTTGCCCTCGATCAATCCTTCGATTGTTCCAAGCGGTTTTGCGTGTCGAACCGTTGTTCATCCGATCTGCGACGTACGGTTGATATCGGTCTCTGTTCGACCTTTGTTCTCTGTCGATCTCCCTTTGGTTTTTAGTAGCTGTCCTGTTCTGATGCATGGATCCAGACGGAGCTCCCAACTCGTCATCTTCGACCCTAATTTTCGACTGATATCGGTTGTGCATATAATTGCCCTTAGAATTCCCAACATCATAATTCCCAATCACTTCAATAATATTTCTTCCGCTTCATCATTGTATAAAGGGAAAAGGGCCAAATATACCCCTCTACTTTCATATATTGTCTACACTTAACCTCCATTATACTATCGGGCTAAATTTACCCCTACCGTTATACTATCGGGCCAAATTTACCCCTACAATCAGCAAACTTTTAAAATACCCCTTGATCTGTTAAGTAATTAAAAATCTCTCAAATTTCTTTTATTTAAATCACTTGTTATTCTTCTTGGTCCAATATTTTTAAAATAATGGCATTTACCTGCTTTCTGAATTAGAGAAAAAAATAAGAGAAAAAAATATTAAATAATACAATCGAATAAACAAAGTATAGTAAATCGAAAAGTCTAAATTATGTAGCTTTTAAAAATTCTAAAAGTATTTACAACATCCCAATTTTAATGAATTCATTGCACCAAATATACGGAGACTTTGCAAGTATTAGTGATTGAAGTTGAAGTTCCTTAGAGACTTTACATTGCCTAATTCAACTTTGCTTTAATTAAATGCCTACATATTGTGCACTCTTAAGTTAGTCGATCAAACTCTATACTAACCAGGCAATGACAAAATATATTTGAATATACATGTACATACATGATGATCAACTGCATATAATACACAATAAATAGACCCACTAAATTCTACTGTGCGTATATGACTGAAAAATAAATAAAATTCTAAACCAATTTTATTTATTACAAGAAGAGAAATGGATGCATTGGTAATTAAAAAAATTATGAATAATTTATATAGTCTAGTAACTTTAACATTCACATCAATAATAATTTTTCAAAATAATGGAGCAAGAAGAACAACAAGTGATTTAAATAAAAAGAATTTGAGAGATTTTGGATTACATAACAGATTAAGGAGTATTTTTAAAAGTTTGCTGATTGTAGGGGTAAATTTGGCCCGATAGTATAACAGTAGGGTAAATTTAGTCCGATAGTATAACGAAAGTTAAATGTAGATAATATATGAAAGTAAAAGGGTATATTTGACCCTTTTTCCTTGTTTAAATATAAATAATTTTAAAATATGGAAAGAATTACTTTTTATACGAACTAAAATTAAAATAGAAAGGAATATGGTGAGCGTCAATCTCGTTCAAAAGCTGACAAATGATGCCAACCCTTTGACTCTTGCCTCCTATGACGTACGTACTTTTGCTGAGAACCCATGACGACATTTTATTTTATTATTTATTTCTTATCATCACTTAAATCTTAATCAAAATCTGTCATCCTAACGCTCACGTATCCAGATCCGAAAAAAATTAGAATTGCCTTATTATTTTAGTAACTATTTTCTGATAGGACCAAATAAGTTCTATGTGATATTCTAATGTTTAAGCAACTCAATAATGCTACTTTCGAATTTATTATTCTATTTTTCAATTTATATATATAACTCTCTTTTCATTTTAAAGGTTCTTAAATTTGATACTATATATGTAGAAATCCAAAAAGTTTGAACACATTTGAATTTGTGTTATGATTAGTTAGTCGTATGATTTTTTTTATGGGAAATAATAAAAAATAACACAGAAAAACTAAAAATAAAACATATATAATTTTTATAGAATAAATTTCTTCTATATTTGAAAGGCAATCTTGAAGCAATAATAAAGTTCTTGTGCGAATTAAAGAAAGGAGTGTTGTCTTCGCGTGATCGTTAGATTACGGGTCGAACCGCGAAAACAGCCATTAATGCTTGCATTATGGTATGCGGTCTACATTATATCCCTTAGGGCATGACGTTTTTTCTGAATTCTGCGTTAATACAGAATATTTTGTGCACCGCACTGCCCATTTTTTTTATTTATTTTCTTCTATTCAATTTGTTATCAAACGTAGGAGATTATATCCTCATTTTCTCTCTACTTTTCTATGTATTAATTCATGATTTAGCTTGTTTACTTTTTTTAGCATCCACGTATATTGGATAGCATATGTAGGAATATGCGTGAAATCAGATATGTCGGTTGATTGGGTGTGAATCACGAATTTGTTTTGGTTTCCTTATATGCTTATAATCCAAGAAAACTGGTGATTGTTGCTTCCCTTGACTTGAACTCTCTTTGCTAAGTTGCCAAATAATCTTTGTTTGTTTTAATAACTATTTGGAGATTCCTAATTCCTATCCATTAGTCGGTGGATTTAAATGTGACTGTTGTATTATCAATAGAGGTCCGAGATAGAATGGTAAGTATTACTTTATTCTTAATTAGAGGTTTTGATATAAACTGTGTTTGTTAGGAATCGCTTTATTTTTAAAGTAAAATTTTTCGAAGTGAATACTAATTTAAATGAGTTGCACTATAGGTATCGAACACCAAATGTAAAACTAAAACTAAAAAAAGTGATGTTGCTTTTAGGGACGAAGATAGGATATTGCTTACGGGTCCGGCTTTAACTCAGTAGCTTTAATTGCTTAGATCTTGTATATATTTGGAAATTTATTAAATATATATAAATATTTAATTACGAATTCAATAATTAAGATATACTATAGATTGTAATTGTTTGTTGGTATACTATATAGTACGGGTGTAAGAATGAGGTGAACCACCAAAAAAGTGATGAATCGGTGGCAACCATAAAGTGAGACTTCTCCATATGTTTTGCCGTGACCATGTGACAGTGTTTGACTATTTGTGTTGTGTTCATATTTATGAACTAGATCCACAGTTGTTTTTTTTTTAAAAAAAATTATGTAGTATTCAAAATTTATTGCTGATTAATCAAAGTTCGTATCGAGTAAATTAATTAAGAAGGGGTCACTTCACGTAAAAAAAAAAATCAATATTAATCCAAATTCAAGATTTTTAGTTAAGAGTAAAGGGAATCCGACAATCTCAATAAACTCACGAATTCTCATTTTGAGTCTTGTAATATCAAAATTTTACACATTTCATCTCTGTTTAGTGAAATGGAGCACTTGTTTACCCTGCGTTTAAAAATTTCAACAAATAAACTTAATTAGTTTTAGTTGTTAAACACGTGCTGTTCATCTTTCATATTAAGAAGATTGACACTTTTTATTTTAAGTTAAATTCGTATACATTTGTTTGTAGAAGGGTTGAAAGGACGAAATATCACTACTTGTAGGTTAAAATTACTTATAGTATATCATGTTAATTATGTTTCAATTTCAAATTAGTTATTACAGTATTTAGCTATATTCAAGTCTGTTGAATATAGAATTTATTTTAATAAGATTAGTTTTATATTCCTCGTTACAATATTTTGAATGACTTACAATTTTTTGGAATTAATGCAAATTTAACAAATAAATAGGGTATAAAGAAAATTCTTATATGAGCTATAAAAATTTGTTGCGATTAAATTTTAGTGATATTTATACATTTGCTTAGATCTAATATTTTCAAAAACTCTTTTAGTCTTGTCACTAACTTATATGCTAGTAAAAAATATAAAATACTTTTACTATATTTATACTATATAACTTTGGACAGAGATAAATTTAGATACGAATTCATGTATTTGATTCTAGCTTATTTTAGATTGAGGTAAATAATATAAAAATTTAAGTTTAATATATTATCAGTATAAGCAGTATTTACACTCATATAACTTTGGACAGAGATAAATTTAGATACGAATTCATGTATTTGATTCTAGCTTATTTTAGATTGAGGTAAATAATATAAAAATTTAAGTTTTATATATTATCAGTATAAGCAGTATTTACACTCATATAACTTTGGACAGAGATAAATTTAGATACGAATTCATGTATTTGATTCTAGCTTATTTTAGATTGAGGTAAATAATATAAAAATTTAAGTTTTATATATTATCAGTATAAGCAGTATTTACACTCATTATATCATCTTTATCAGTAGTAGCAGCCCAACAAGTAAACTATCTTATTTTTAAAATGATGGAGTGTTTTTTATTTCCCTATAATATTTTTAAATGACATAATAATATAAAAATTCAATAATTAATTATTGCCATGCTTTACAAACCTCACCTAGCTAGGTAGAGTAAAATGGCACTAATACAAAATCAAAGCAACCTCTTTGTACTGTCAAGTGTGTGTGTGTGTGTGAATTAAAGACCAGCAGTCCAAAGAGAGAGACAGCTTAAAGATTGGGAAGTAGGACCCATGCCGCCATTAATATCCCCTTCTACCAACCTTCCTCTCCTCTCTCTCTCTAAAGTCACTATATTGATTATAAACCAATGCTAAAGATAAGTCAAATTTAGCTCTTTCTTTTCCTTTGGCTTTTTTTCCCTCTCAGCTTCAAAGAAAGCTCTACAACAAACAGCCATCATCTTCTTATCTTTCCTACCTCCTGACTTTTCTTGAAAAGAAAAAAGTAGAGGTGGGGTGGGTGCTTCTTTTCTTGAAAAGTCTCTACTTTTAGTTTATTTTTTATTTTGCTTCTCTTAGTTTAATAATCTTGTTTCTTGATGGAAAAAAAAGTCATTTAGTGGGAGCTGTAAAAAGGGTTTTCTCTTTTATATTCATATATTTCAGCTTTGAGCTACTTGGATTTACTCTCTGTTTTTTTACAAGTGATTGTGTGTTCTGTGATATACAGAGAAAGAGAAGTTTGTTGAAGAAGAAGGGAAGCTCAAAAGGGGTGATTTTATTTTTTTCTAATGGGGATTTGTTTGAGTGCTAGAATTAAAGCTGAAAGCCCATTTCATACAGGTATGAACATATTTCAAACTTTCTTCTTTAAGTTTAAACTGTTTTGTTACTAAAGGTGTGATTTTTCTACTTCTTGAATGCTTGAACAATTTGCAAATTTGATTGATTTTTTTTTCAATTTTCATTAATTTATCTAAAGATGATCATGTCTTAGTTTTTATAACTAAAATATAATCAACTTCATCATCATATAAGTTTGGCTTTCAGCAAATTGGCTAGTTGGAGACGAGGTTTTTATCAGAAACAACGTCTCTACTTTCGCAAGGGTAAGTTCTGCGTACACAGCTGTGGGATTACACTGGGTTTGTTGTTCTTGGAGTTTTTGCTAATCTTTAACTTGTTATTATAAAACCCCTACTATTTGGTAATAAGAGTTTTCCTAATTAGTATATATGTTGCTATCTCTGGTTTTAAGTAGTTGTTTGTGGTTTAATGAGGTTATTTGTTGCTAATTTTTTATGGATAGTGGCATTTAAAGCAAGTTATCTAATATATTAAGATAATTGTTAACAGGGCTAAATTCAAGATCTGCTAGTACAGATGGATATGATAGCAATCCAAGCTCGAGGGTCTCAACCGTGCCACTGGCTCCAAGAAGTGAAGGAGAGATACTGCAGTCTGCCAATTTGAAGAGCTTTAGTTTCTCTGATCTCAAAACGGCCACTAGGAATTTTCGTCCCGATAGTGTACTGGGAGAAGGTGGATTTGGCTCGGTTTTCAAAGGGTGGATCGACGAGAACACGTTTGCAGCTACCAAGCCCGGGACAGGTGTGATCATTGCTGTGAAAAGGCTAAATCAAGAAGGTTTTCAAGGTCACAGGGAATGGCTGGTGAGTTTCTTATGTTCCATTTAAGTGCACTGATTATCCCATGAACTGTCATTACTTATTACAGCGCCTGTTTAAGTGCTAATACTTTCTTATCTGAGAGTGTCACAAAATTGTAAAGGTTGTCTGTGTTCTAACTTTTATTGTGCCTCTATGTTTATAGGCAGAAGTAAACTATTTGGGACAGTTTTCTCATCCTCATCTCGTAAAGTTGATCGGGTATTGCTTGGAGGATGAACACCGGCTTTTGGTTTATGAGTTCATGCCTCGGGGCAGCTTGGAAAACCATTTGTTCAGAAGTGAGTTCTTTGTCTCCGGCATTTGTAATTTCAACTCTAAACTATGATCATCGATGCCTTTGGAGTAAAAGTGTACATTCTTCTGTAACAGGAGGTTCTTATTTCCAGCCTCTATCTTGGAACCTGCGATTGAAGGTTGCTCTTGGAGCTGCAAAGGGGCTTGCTTTTCTCCATAGTGCTGAAACAAAAGTGATATATCGAGACTTCAAGACCTCGAATATTTTGCTTGATTCAGTATGTCCGCTGCGAATTAGATCTTTGTGCAATTGCTTATTACGAACCAGCGAACTTTCGCTTACTTGGTTGTGATGTTTCTCTTATAACATTGTAGAATTACACTGCCAAGCTCTCAGACTTTGGATTGGCAAAGGATGGACCGACAGGTGATAAAAGCCACGTCTCTACAAGGGTTATGGGGACCTATGGATATGCAGCTCCAGAATACATGGCAACTGGTACAGTTGCTTTTTCTTCTGACTCGTGCATTAGTTTCATTTCTTGTTCCCATTTAAGTCAACTTCAATGGAGTATCATATTAATTTGGAACGAGAGACAGATACTGATCAGGGCATCTTTGCCTTTATGATGGAACATCTGCATTCTGCTCTTATCCAAGATCCATTAACGTGCAGTTTTCTTTTTTTACTTTTTAAGTCGTGTTCCTTAAGATTCAATTTCTTGCTTATTCTCAAGAACCTCATTCATGTCTAATCCATTTGCACTTGAGCTCCATCTCTTAGTTCACGGTTCCTCTGTGTTCTCTCTTGACAAACATTGATTTCTTGATGTTGACACTTTAATCAGCTGAATATAAGACAGAAATCAGCAACCCTTGTACTTATTGATTGACTTTACACCTTGAGTTCAAACAAATGTTATCATAAATCACTTGTACCCTGGATTATTTATTTGTTCATCTCCCTTCTAATTCATCTGTTTGGTACAGGTCATTTAACTAGCAAGAGTGATGTGTATAGTTTTGGAGTTGTCCTCCTCGAAATGCTGTCTGGTCGTAGGGCAATCGACAAGAATAGACCATCTGGAGAACATAACCTAGTGGAGTGGGCTAAACCTTACCTAGGCAACAAACGTAAGGTCTTCCGTGTTCTGGATACCCGTCTTGAAGGCCAGTATTCAATGGACGTGGCGAGTAAAGTAGCTAACCTTGCATTGCGGTGCCTATCCAAAGATCCTCGGTTTAGATCAAGCATGAGTGACATTGTTAAAGAACTAGAGCAACTTTATCAACAATCTAAAGATGCAGGTAATACTCGCAGCCACGGTAACAACCGGCCTAGACCACGTAGACGGAGTGCTGGTGATGTTGGTAATAAACATGCTTCAGTTGCTTATCCAAGACCTTCTGCTTCACCCCTTTATGCTAAATAATTCTAAGAAATGATTGGAAGATGCCTTTTTCATGTTGTCTTTATGTTTTTTCAAGCTTGAAAAGTAGTTGAGGCTGCTGAAGAACCTGCACATTTGCAGAATCAGCTGATTGTATAGTTGTTTTGGTTAAATGTATTGAATGTGTTTGTAACATGAGGATTGCTCACAGGTCACAAGATTTTTTTTTTTAACACACAGTATGGGGGTGCTAAGTGCTATTGCATAGTTGATATTGACAAATCTTTTTTCTTGATGAAAAGTTCTTACCTTTTCACAGTCAAGTTATTGATTTATGTTTATTTCAGCTTTCTTCTTTGTTACATCCCCTTTCTAGAATGTGTCATAGGTGGGGCCAGTGGTGAATAAGGGTGTTCAAGATTTAACCTACATGTATTAAAAGTGATTTTTGACTTATATACGAAGTACATTTTTTGTATACATAGTATAATTTTTCAATGATGAGGTACGCCACAACATGGGGTATTTTATCCTTCCATCTAAAGTCTTCATAAAATTGATAGACACAGAAGTATTTTATTTTATGTGGCATTTTTTCAGTTATCTTTTTTTTTTATATGAATATTTTTTTATATTTGGAAGCTCTTTAATTTTAGATTTCCCATTTACCTTAAATAAGGTGCATTTACAATCACAAAAATGTTATAACATGTTTAAGCCCATATGTTCTAATGGTATTTTTGATATATACACAAAAATTATTTCTTTCGTTTTTAAATTTCTTCTCTAGTCAAACATGTCGTATAAAATTAAGTAGAAGGAATATGAGCAAATCCACTACTTTTACCTTTTGGCGCATTTACTAGGTCTTTAATAGCCAACTAAAAGAATGACTCTTATAAAGCGAAAAAGAAGGTTATTTTTAATCAATTAGCATTAGTATCTGTGCGATGCACGGTGTTGTATTAAAGCAAAATTAAATTTGGCATATTGTAATTTAACCTGTTTGAGGTATTAAAGTAAATTAAATTTGGCATATTGTAATTTAACTTGTTTGAGCGTATTAGATCATATTGTTTTAATAAAATTTCAATTGTCATCTTGGTCGTGGATTTTTATGACAATCCGATAGGTCGTTTTGAGTACTAACCTTAATTTCTATGTTCCGAGACCTCTCATAGCTTCATTTGATATTGTATGACTTGCGTGCGTGATCCGTGTCATTTTTCCGGAAAGCTTTTATGTGAAATTTTGAAGAAAATATAATTTTTGACTTAAAATGAGGTTAGAGTAGACCACAGTCAATATTTTTGGTCAACGACCTCATATCGGTATTTTGACGATTTTGGTAGGTTCGTATGATATTTTTAGACTTGTACGCATGTTTGGTTGGGATCCCGGGTGCGAGTTTGTATGATGTTATTTTACTTGTGTGCATGTTCAGATTGGAGCATGAGGGCTCGAATGAGTTTCAGATGTGTTTTGGAAAGGAAATGAACTGCTGATGCAATATATGGTGCAACTGGGCTGCAGGTCTCCCAATTGCGAAGATCTGCTCGCAAATGCGAGCTTCGCTTTTGCGAAGTCAGGCTCACATTTGCAGAATTTGGGCTATGTCCACAATTGCGAGTTGGGGGCCTTCACAAATGCGAAGGGAATGTCACATTTGCGACTACTACATAATTGGGACACTGATTACATTTGCGATCAGTGGTTCGCTTTTGCGAATCGTAATTGCCAGAAGAGTTTGCAATTGCGATATCTGCAGCTGGGTAAAAATTGAAAAAATCGGGACTTAGCTCATTTTACACCATTTTTCAACCCTAAACTCTCTAGAGGTGATTTTTGAAGAGGATTTTCTTCCCAAATTCATTGTTAAGCAACTTTAACTATTTTCAATCAATTACAATTACCAGTCCATGAATTTTAACATCAAATCCATGAATTTCAAGGTATAAATTAGGGGTTTGGGTAGAATTTAGGAATTTTGTAAAATTGAGATTTAAACCTCAAATCGAGGTCGAATTTCGAAATAAATATCACATAATCGGACTCGGGGTGAATGGGTAATCGGTATTTGATCCGAATCTCAGATTTCAACCAAGTGCGTCTCGGATTGACTTTTGTTGACCTTTTCAATTTCATTAAAGATTGAACATTTTTCACTCGTGGGTAGTTTCTAAAGCTTGTTTCAAATTGTTTAAACTATTTTGGCTAGATTCGATTGGTTTGGAGGCTTGTTCTAAAGAAAAAGCCATGGATGATTATTGATTTGACTCCGAAAATAGGTAAGTGTCGTGGTTAACTTTGACTTGAGGGAATTAGGACTTGTTTGGTCTATTTGCTACATGAATTATGTGTGGGGACATCGTTTATGCAAGGTGACGAGTGTATATGAGTTGTCATAGGTTAAAGCATGCAGGTGGAATTTGCCTATTTGCACCAAGTTGTTTCATTTACTATGCCCTCCATGCCGTAGATAGATAATTTATTCTTTGACTATCCGCTTTCGTGTTTATTGCTTATGTTAAAATTGTTGTGATATTGAAAATTGGATTTGCTTATTCTAACACTATAGTTGAGGTTGAAATTTGCTTCTCACCTTGCTTGATACTTTGGGTTGTTGTTGTTGCTTGGTGAGGAAAAGTGAAAAATATAAAGGGTGATGCCATGCACATGCTTATTTATCATGAGAGGTTAAAGCACGAAGGGTGATACCGTACACTTACATTTATGATATATGGTGAGGATGAGAGTAACATCACGAAGGGTGATGCCGTGCAACTTGTTGACTTTATTGCTTGACTTGATATTTAAAATATGGACTTGACTTGATGGTTTCGGTGCTTATTTTGAAAAAGGTTTATTGGCGATTCTTACTTATTGTTCCACTTGTTGCCCTTTCTACATATTCCCGCCATGTTGTTACTTTTGATGCTTTATTTGTTATTTCGTTGCTTTATGTATATAACTGCACAGGTTTTTAATAGACGTCTTGTCTTAGCCTCGTCACTACCTCGTCGGGGTTAGGCTCGACACTTACTGAGTAAATTGGGTCGGTGGTACTCATACTATACTTCTATACTACTTGTGCAGATTTTGATATTAGTACCAGCGGAGTCCCAGGAGATACTTAGTGGATACTAGACAGTGATTTGAGGTAGAGCTGCATCCTTGTGAGATTTGTAAATGGAATGAAAGGAATTGAAGAATTTTAGTTTGGACGAACCCGAGAATGTTCGAGAGAGAGAGAGATATAAATATCTAAGAGGAGAACATGAGCTTAATTCTCATTATTGAAAGATATTCTGTACAAGTGTAATATCCGGTCCTTATACAAAATGAGTACAATCAAATAAATATTGGGCCTGCTACTATGTTGGTCCTTCAACAAGTTTATCAATAGGGCCATCTATGCTAACACCCCCTCAAGCTGTGGGGTGAGAGAACTCCCAACTTGCCCAGTAGAAGATTGTGCGAAACACCAAACAAGGATTTAGTGAAAATATCGGTCAGTTGAGAAGAAGAGGAGATGAAATGAAGAGAAATCAAACCATCTGCAAGCTTCTCTCCCACAAAGTGACAATCAAGTTCTATATGTTTGGTCTGCTCGTGTTGTATATGGTTCTTAGCAATGCTGAGGGCTGCTTGATTATCACAGTAAACAGGCACAAGGCTGGAAACAGTGACACCAAGATTATGTAATAAACGGACAAGCCAAGTCAATTCAGCCTATGTTTTTCACAAGGCTCGATATTCAACCTCCGCAGAAGAGAGGGAAACGGTAAGTTGTTTTTAAGACAAACAGGACTGCCACCCAAAGAAATAAAATACCTAGTAACAGACTTCCTAGAATTATAGCAAGTAACCCAATCCGAATCTAATTAAGCCTTAAGAGAGAAATCCAAAGAATTATTAAGAAGAATACCCTTAGCAGGATCATTCAACAGATACCTAAGGGCGTGCAGAACAACCTGTATATGAGTAGACCTGGGAGCATGCAAAAATTGACTCAAATATTAAACGGAGAAGGCCAAGTCAGGTCTTGTATGCTGAAGGAAATTCAATTTTACCACCAATCTCCTAAAGAGAGAAGGATCAGATAGTAATACCTCAGATTCACTATTAAGTTTGCAATTCAAATCCAATGGAACCACAACAGGAGAGCAATATGAACAGTAAAATTCAGCAAGCAATTCCTTAGTGTATTTGTGTTGATTCAACAGAAAACCTTGGGGAACTCTGGAAACTTTAAGACCCAAGAAGTAGTGCACATCACCAAGGTCCTTGATTTTGAATTAATTATCCAAGAAGGACTTAAGAGAATCCAATTCCTCAACATCATCCCTAACCAATAATATGTCATCCACATAAACTGCAAGAACAACTATAGAAGCTGATAAAGATCTAATAAAAAGTGAATAGTCATTGAGGCTAGAATGATATCCCATGGAGATAATAGCAAAAGATAGTTTGGAAAACCATTATCTTGATGATTGCTTGAGTCCATAAAGGGACTTTTTGAGTTTGCACACAAGAGGAGACCCAGAAAAAGCAGTGGCAGGAGCAAAAACAGACAATCCAAGGGGGGCTTTCATATAAACATCTTCTGAAAGATCCCCATGTAAGAAGGCATTGTTTACATCAAGTTGGTAAACAATCCAAGATCTTTTGGCTGCAATATCAAGGAGGCACTTAATAGTAGTGAATTTGACAACTAGAGAAAAAAATTCATTGTAGTCAATGCCAGCTGTTTAAGTATCACCTCTAATAACAAGCCTAGCCTTGTATCTTTCAATACTATCATCAGATTGTTATTTTTGTAGACCTATTTGCATGGAATGACTTTCTTGCCAGGAGGAAGGGGAATAATGTCCCAAGTCTGATTAGCCTCAAGGGCTTGAAAATCCTTGAGCATAGCCTCCTGCCAAGCAGGGTTTGATATATCCTATTGATAATGTTGAGGTTCTTGCATACATGCTGCAGTAGAATTCTTGGAACTGGATGAAGGAAGATGGGGTAAAGAAGTGACAAAGTGTGGAATAGAGTTGCATTCCTTTAATTGCACTGGAGGATTAGAAGGCCTAGAAGATCTTCTAAGAGGAGGCATGAAAGAAGGAGAAGGTGAATGAGCAACAATGGGTGAAGCGGGAACATGGAGAGTAGGAAAGGAAGAAGAAGTATTGGGTAAAGAAGGAGAAGGAAAAGTGAAGGAAGTGATATCAAAAGATAAGATGAAGGTTGAGAGGAAGTCGGGAAATACACAGAAGGAGATGAGGTGGAAGGAAAGATGTACTCAACAAAAGAGACATCTCTGGAATAG